AAAAAATTTCTGGAAAACTTTTCGAAAAAATTTTCTTTTGAAACAAAAATTTTTCAGCAATTTGTTTCGGAAATTTTTTGAAAACTTGGAAAAAAATATTCCGATTACAATTTTTTTTATCGGGTTGATCTGATTAAAAAACTTATGAACTTAAATCTGAACGCTTCCATGCGGAAGGCAAAAGCGAATAATCTTTATGCGTTGAAGATAAATTTGAAATAATAATGGTCGCCGGTGACAGAAAAATGGCCGACATTGACACTAGGATTTAGGGTGTGCACGGGGGATGGTGGTGGATGAAGGGGGATGAAGGGGGATGATGGGGCAAGGGGAAGAGGGAGAAGGTACATTTAAGTAACATTCAGACATTACTCGAGGGGGTCATATCTGTGGCGCGCGTACACAAATACATCCAATAATAAAATGAAAGACCACCGGGTGGAAGGGAACGAGGGGTTACCGGTTTCCTCCCCTGTTTCACCCGTATCGCTCCGCAAAAGATCAACAAATGTGGCGTGATGCGCGTCCAATCAGAGCGACCAGACCAGCTGCCGATTTTTGTATGTATACCTCCCATCCAACGGAACAAACCCATACGAAAAAATATCTCGGTGGTCGCATATCAGAATTATATGAGAATCAAGCCAAAAAATAACCAGAGTCAAGTTGAGGAAAATAAATAGGGCATTTACCACGCTTCTGGTGTTTTTTTTCCCTCTTTTCCTCCAAATATGTTAAAAAATCTCACCATTTTTCAAATTGACACCATTTCCTCTTCGTTTTTGAAAACGCAATATGTCAACATTTTTTATTAGATTAAATAGATTCAATGATTTTTTTTTTGGATGAAAAGCAGGAACAGGAACAGGAACAGGAACAGGAACAGGAACAGGAACAGGAACAGGAATTTGCTCACTGCGAAAATCGAGGGAGAAAGACAAATCGTTTTGTTTTTCTTACCTTTATTTATTTTAAAAAAATGTAAAGCTTGTTTTTTTATTTTGTTTGTTTAAAATTTTGCATGAAATATTTCTGGGAGTCGGAGGTGATGTCACTTAATTGGCACATGCAGATGGGATAATGAGATTGAGCAATGAAATAATAATTTTTCCCACTGCCAATGAAACTAAACTAGCGAACAGAATGAATTAACGCTCGGTGTATTTTTCGCGTGATACGGTGCATGACGAGTGATACAATGAGTAGAGAAATCCTGATATACCCGAGGGGTTGTACCGTTTCATATACCAGTCCTCTCTTTTGAGGCAGAACAAAGTTCGTAAATGCGTGATGACATGGCTCCTTATACCGCCGCGTGCTGCGTCTATCCCCGGTTTTCTCATGTCACGATTTTACGTGTGGCGCCAAATTATTCACGCTAAATATAACACCATGATTTTATCGGTAATTAGGACAATTTGCTTGTGGGTTTCATGTAAATAATCCGCGAATAGCGGGTATCTTCATATTTTTTTCCATCCGAATAAAAGTTTTGTGTTCTTTCAAATTTCTGTAGCTGAACTAGGATAAGTGCATTTTGTTCGAGGCTAATACCTTCGAATTGAAGGAACATAGCGAATTTTTTGTAAAGACCATTTTTAAAGAGAAAGGTGAGAGCTATAGAAAAGGTATTCATAAAAAAATTGAAAACTTCCTTCGATTTCAAGATATTGACAGAAAATTGGCCGCGAAAGAATGTACTCGTCTTAGTTGACCACTTCGCACAGATTTCAGAAGATATTACCGATATCTTTCATTTTTTTCGTAAATTTCTGGAATCAGAGGTCCTTAATTAGATTAGCCTGATAAAATATAGTATATATACCATGTATTTATTTGTTATTCTTCCAAGATTTTGACATCTGCCATTTTCACAGACAAAATAGAAAAATTTCGGCTTGAAGAGTGAAATGAAGATTCCAAAGAATAACGAGAATTCGTTTCTACTCAATTTCCTTCAACTCCTGGAAATTTTTTCTATGGAAAAAGTCAAGAACGCGGAGTTCGAGAGAAAATAAATCCCCAGTTTAAAATGTCAAGCCCCTGAAACAATGCACATGTCCTTTTTTTTTTGTCCCCGTTGGTGGCGAAAATGTTCTGTGACGCGTGAAAGCTTTCGTCAAATATTGAGACCTTCTCGGATTTTCCATATACCAGCGCTCTGGTCTCCTGCCGAGGAATCCCGTATTCGCGAAGAGGATCACCTCGAAAAAGAGGTTTACATCCGGGTTCCAGGGAATTACGAGGTTCGACGCGACTCGAGAGTCGAAAACATTTCGTGGGCGGTCCAAAGCGCTTAGGCTATTCTGCGACAGGTTCTGTGGGATTATGAGGTGAAATCTTTGAGTAAAGGGATATTCTTTGTCCATTTATTGTTATGATACAGATATTGTATCAAAATTGTGAGCCATCCCATTGAAAATATTTGAGTTTAATGGGATTTTGCGGTATGTTGGGTTTGGGAGAATTGACATTTATTTATTATTATAAATAATCGCCATTCGACTTCGATTGGCGATTCGGGTGAATTGATCTTCGATAAATGGAAGAAGAAGAATTCTCAAACAGCCCGGGTAAAAAAAATTGTAATCGGAATATTTTTTCCAAATTTTCAAAAAGTTTTGGAAAACTTTTCAGAAAATTTTTCTTTTGAAATAAAAAAAATCGAGACAAAAAAATTGTATTTTTGGGAAATGTTTTGAATATTTTTTCAAAAATTTGTTTCGGAAATTTTTTTTATAATATTCTAGAAATTTTTGGGAATATAATTTTTTCTTTTAATTATACTGTTGTTTTCTTATTTTTTAAATTTTTCAATATTCTCAAAAAAAAACGCAATAGAAATCATAAAAAAAATTTTCCTCTTCAAATTTTTGAAAAATTTTTTGAAAATTCAGAAAAAATATTTCTGTTACAATTTTTTTTTACCCGGGACAACAGATACATAAATTTTTATCGCATTCTTCGCAAAAACTGGAAAATGAAAAATGGAAAATGGAAATATAAATAGGCAGATAATAACTGAATAAATCACGAGACAATTGGCTCTGAGAATGATCATTAAACTCGTTTAATAAAATTATCACAAGTTCATGAATGAAATCCAAACAAATGTAGACATCTCCTGAGAATAATTCGCGTATCCACGACTAATCAAAAAATTGATTCCCCTTTAACATTTCGAGACTAATCCTTATTTCCATGTCTAATGTGCTCCCAACAAGGACCCATCGACACGACTCCAAATAGATGTTCTCAGTTATTCCAAGCTACTAAGATCTCCAACAGAATTCACTATCAAGAAAATTCTAAAAAGCAACTCGGCAACTGCACGCTTTGATTTTGTTAGCCCGGTCTCGGTGGCAGATTCCACGGTGGCCTTTCCCCCGGGTGCAAAAGCTCATCCAGAGACTGAAGGGGATGAAACTGGGAAGCTAGATGCCAATGATCGATGACTCCAGAGGTTCTACCGGAGTCTAAAGGTCTCAGTACAGTGAATTCTTCTTTTTAATTCTTTCGTTACAGACCGGTGCTGAATTTTCGACGCTCGTTTGGGTTATAAAGTTGCTCAGGATAACCCATTAATTATCATGGTAGGTGTTGAAAGTTTGGGGAGGGAGAATAATTTTTTATACCTTTATTTTATTTTTTATTGTCACGTGTATGTGGATTTTTAATGGATATTCGGGTTGATTAAAAAATTCAAAGGGTATATGGAAACTTCGATAATTTATCTTGTAAAAAATTTTTTAGTCATCGGTTTATTTATCCTTCATCCTCATTATTATTTAATTCATTATTATTTCATTGAATATTCATTGGATGAGGAGACAATGCAGGAAATAAAAAAATGGATAAATAAATAAATAGAAAACTGAAAATTCTGGTAATGTCATTATTTCATATTTTCAATAGTGAGAATTAAGTTTTAACATTTATGGTGTGACAGACGTGTCGAAGATATTTGAATAAAAATATTTCCGAGAAAATGAAATAGCAGAAAGAGTATCCGTTAAATTTTCTCGGGGTAAGTAAACAAACGATTTAAAAAGTCACGAAAAACTTTTCGACGATCGGGTTAAAACGGTTAACGGGCTTATCCTATAGTGACTAAGACGGACTAAGTTGTCACGCGATGCCAGTAGGGTACCAGGGCATTATCCTACCAGGGGGTC